TTCAATTAGGATTTCATACTGTGGAAGTCCTGGGACGGGAAGGGGAGGGTTAGGGAGGGTATGGGGGGTTTGGGGGGGGAAACTGGGGAGAAAATGTATTTGTAAAACTTTTTAAATTAAAAAAAAAAAAGAAAACTAAGATCATGGCATCCGGCCCTCTCAATTCCTGGCAAATAGATGAGGAAGAAATGGAGGTAGTGACAGATTTTATTTTCCTGGGCTCCAAGATCACCACAAATGTGGACTGCAGGCAAGAAATTAAAAGATGTTTGTTCCTGGGAGGAACGCTACGGCAAATTTAGACAGCATACTAAAAAGCAGAGACATCACCCTGCCAACAAAAGTGCGTATAGTCAAGGCTATGGTTTTCGCAGTTGCAATATATGGCTGTGAAAGTTGGATCATAAGAAAGGCTGAGCGCCAAAGAATTGAGACCTTTAAACTATGGTTCTGGAGAAGACTCCTGCGAGTCCCTTGGACTACAAGGCAATCAAACTGGTCAGTCCTAGAGGAGATCAACCCTGACTGCTCTTTAGAAGGCCAGATCCTAAAGATGAAACTCAAATACTTTGGCCACCTAATGAGAAGGAAGGACTCACTGGAGAAGAGCCTAATGCTGGGAAAGACTGAGGGCAAAAGAAGGGGACAACAGAGAATGAGGTGGCTAGATAGAGTCATTGAAGCAATAGGCGTGATCTTAAATGGACTCCAGGGGATGGTAGAGAAAAGAAGGCCTGGAGGAACGTTATCCATGGAGTCGCGATGGGTTGGACACAACTTCGCAATTATTCGCAATTATTATAACTTCCATTCATGACCAATATCAACTCTGAAACTATGTTGGCATATGAAGAGGGTTAATAATTCCACTTAATTATTAACCCTTTACTTATGCCAACATAGTTTCAGAGTTCTATAAATCTGAGAAAAACAAATGAAGTTCTTATATATTATCAAAATATGGTTGTCTATGAAATTCAGAGCTACTAGATGACTAATCTAAATTATTTAAATAAAATTAAACACATTAATGGAGGATAGATCTATCAATGATTATTAATTATGAATAACTGTATATTATTTATTATTTCCAAAATAATTCTAAATTGTGACAAGTAAAATAAAAGGTGAACTACCACCCACATGTCCTGTTTCGAGGTTTTCTGGATGCATGTAATCTTCAACATTGCAATGCAAGAAACTGATATAGAGAGACTTTGGGCCTTATTGATAAGGATTTCTCTTACTTTCTTACATACTAACCAAATCAAAATAGAATTCCTAAGTTTCAAGAAAATGTTGAGAATCTCCCAAAACATATATGCATAAATAGTTTGCTAATATTATTTAAAACTATCTTTAAATGTGTGTCTTAAAAAAATTATGTGTCCACACTTTCATATCATCCAGCAAAAAATGGTAAGCAGTAATGGTTGAACTGCAATTTATTGATGAGGAAATCTATATTTCTTCCAAAGAACTCATGGAAAACAAGTAACAACAAACTCTAAACTATGGTTGAGATAGAATAACTGTATACTACTACAGTTTTGGTACACTTTTTGTTACTAAAAATAAAATACTCATCTTGATAGCGTATGCATTAATAATAAACAACCTCATGTTAAACAATCAATAATATCCTAATGGGAATTTGTACCCAAAATTAAAAAGCAATACTCCTATGAGCATATTTAAATGATCTTAATTACTTCAGTGTACCATATATATATCACCCCAAATAATTTTTGTTCCAACAATTTTAGAAACTCTAATTGAAGATTTTAGCGTACTATAAATATTTGTTCCAAAGTTGAACTATTGGTCAATTAATCAAATACCAGTATTCTCCGATGCACAATATACTACAATATGCTTAATTATACCTTACCACCTTGTCAGATTGAGCTAACATGCAGTTTTTAAATTTTGAAATGAAAAACAATGCAAATCCAGTGGTGGGATTCAATTTTTTTAACAACCGGTTCTGTGGGCATGGCTTAGTTGGGGGTGTGTGGCTTGGTGGTCATGTGACTGGGTGGGCATGGCTAGCTGGTCATGTGACTGGGTGGGCGTGGCTATGTGCATAGGGACTACTCAGAGGGCTGAAAAAAGTCATTTCTGACTGGTCCTCGCACTTATGACCATCCTCACATTTATGCCCGTTGTGGTATTCTTAACAACCGTGTCAGTCATTTCACCACTACTTCTCTTCACCATGATGACAAGATAGGGTGTAAAACGTAAAATGTGAGGACAGTCATAAGTTCAAGGACTGGTCAAAAGTGCGAGGACTGGTCAAAAATAACTTTTTCAGCCTTCTGTCTAGTCCATATGCACATAGGGACGATTCAAAGGGCTGAAAAAGTAATTTCTGACTGGTCCTCACATTTTTGACCAGTCCTCGCACTTATGACCTTGCTCACATTTATGCCCGTTGCAGCATTCTTAACAACTGTGTCAGTCATTTCACCACTACTTGTTTTCACCACAGTGACAAGATAGGGCGCAAAATGTGAGGACAGTTGTAAGTTCGAGGACTGGTCAAAAGTGCGAGGACCAGTCAAAAATAACTTTTTCAGCCCTCTGAGTAGTCCATATGCACAAAAGGACTACCCAGAGGGCTGAAAAAAGTCATTTCTGACAGGTCTTCGCACTTTTGACTGGTCCTCACCCTTATGCCCATTGTAGCATTCTTAACAACCGTGTCACTCATTTCACAACTGCTTCTCTTCACCATGGTGACAAGATAGGGCAAAAAACGTAAAATGTGAGGACAGTGGTAAGTTCGAGAAGTGGTTAAAAGTGTGAGGACCAGTCAAAAATAACTTTTTCAGCCCTCTGAGTAATCCATATGCACAAAAGGATACAGCAATAGAGAGGGATGAAGGAAGGAAAAAGAGATGGAAGAAAGAAGGAGAGAGAGGGAAGGAAGAGAAGGGAGGAAGGAAGGGAAGGGAAATTAGAGTAGGAGTGAGGGTAAGAGAGGGAGGAAGAGAGGAGGAGAAGGTGAAAGGAAGAGGAAGTAGGGAGGAGGAGAAGCGGGGGGAGAAAAAAGTAAGAAGGAAAGAAAAAAGAGAGGTAGTAGATTTGAGGAGAAAGATTGCTGTACAGTAAAAAAGATAAAATGGAAGAAAAGCAACCCCAAATAAATATAAAGATATTAAGATAAAGAATGACTTGTTAAACTTTAAAGAATAAAAGAGAACAAATATGAATAAATAGCAATAATTAGAAACACACATACAAACATACAATTTATTTTCTTTGAACAGAGTATTTGGCCGGTTCACAAATTTAAACAGTGTTTAGTCATTTCAATTAAATTTACAATTTCTATATTTCCTTTTTGCCATATTTATTCCTTATCTATTTTTTAAAAAAAACCAATATTACCCTTCATCCTCATCTCTAATCTTAATCAAATTCAATTTTTCCCTTCTATTCTATATTATACCCCTTCCCATTGTTATCTATTTTTATATCCATCCTCACATTGGTTAATTATGTAATATTACAGTTTACATTTAATATAAATTCAACATTTTAATATAAATCAATTATATATATAATTGTATATATATAGTTAGTTATATAACTATCTTTTTTGTATATTAATCAATATGAACATGAATATTCCAATTATTTCCATGCAATCCAATTTCTTACAAATCAATTAATTATATTTACCAATAATAATAAACCAAATAATTTCCCCCATATATTCCTCCAAACCACAACCATTTCTGCTTTCAATACAATATACAATTAATAGTATCTCAATTATTACAATTCCCTAGTTAAATAGAGCTTTTTTTCTTTTGTGTTTTAAAATCTTGAACTCTCCTCTTTTTCCCTAAACTTCCCATTGTTTGCACCTACCTTTTTTGAGAAGAAAAGAAATCTGCCTGCCTAATTTTCCAATGTTGCAGCAACAGCAAAGCCAACAGCCTGCTTTACTTTCAGTTTCGTTTTTCAGCATAGGTAGGGGGAAAAAAATCTGCAACACTCTTTGCAAGCAAGCAGCAGAGCCCTGAGCAAAACAGCTGAGAGCAAATCAGCTGAGAGTCGGGAGGCCAATCTAATCAACGGGCTAATTAGCCTATGCTGAAACTCCGCGGGTCAATAAAATTACAAAAAAACACCGAACCGTTTGTTAAATTGCTGGCTCACCCACCCCTCCCCCACCACTATTTATTGGCAATAAATAGTGGTGCGGAGGGGCAGGGCAAGGGGCGGGGCGAGCCAGCAATTTAACAAACGGTTCGGCCGAACCGCCTAGAACCGGCAGAATCCCACCACTGTGCAAATCTGATGTAAAATTTAAAGCCTGCCAAAACCTTAATGCTGAACAAAGTATAGGAATCTTTCTTATGAGTTGGGCAATCTCTCTACAATTCTTAAGCATTGTATTTGATTCAGTATGTTTCTAATAATGGTTAGTAAAGCCAAGATTGGAAAAGGAAAAAGATTCACATAAGAAAAAACACAGGATAGGCAGTATCTGAACAACTTGCAAGCCTTCCATTATGCTTGCACAGGTTTGATATATTTCTCAAGGACAGCCATTGTCACATGCAGTGCTCTCAAAAATTATGCAATGTCAAAATAATTTGAATGTTAGTTTTGCTTCCCATCTTTCCAATGTAGCAGATAATAAATTTCCTGAACAATTTGCATGGACAATCAAAATTAACAAAAACAACCTACTTACACAGGAAGTGGTTTACATTAATAGTAAATCACTTTGTGCACACACAACAGTGTAAAAATTGTATATTGGATACGATATAAACTATTTGTATTATAGCAGTCTAAATGTGTTTTAAGGTAATGAAATATTTATCACAAGTATTTCTGCTCTGTTTTAATAATTAGGCATTCAGCAGCTTTTGGTTGTCTGTTGAGATCTAAAATTCTGATGGATGAGATATGCGCGGGGATGAAAGTGAATGAGATTTCTGGGATTTTAGGAGCACTGCACAAATATATCAACTTACTCATCCCATTGCTTATTTTGCTTTCCATAAAGCAGCGTATCCAAGGCAACAGCATTAACATCCAGAACTCCTGGGGAAGGCCACTGATTGGTGAGATGGGTAGTTAATTCTTGTCTTGATCTTAAATCATTATTCTTTAGCACAGTTCTGTAAACACATAGTGAATTTCATGCCATTAAAAGTAATATCTTAAAATAAAGGAAGAAAATAGGCTGTTCTTGAAAGGTTTTCCTGCTACCATACTAAAGCATTTTCTCTCAAGAGATTTCTCAATCAAAATTTGACTCTTGAAGAACAAAATTGAATTTATATGACACTACAGTATGGGATGTTTTTATTGTATTCTACAAGAATAGATGATCAGTCAATTACAAATATGGAAATAAACACAATAAATTAAAACTGCTTACATAGTTTATCACATTTGATCCTAAGCAAACTACCAGTATACATTAAGATTGCTAATCTAAGTGCTAATTTATAGAAGAGCCTCCTGTTTCTCTCCTTCCCCTCCAAAAAAACCTAAGAGTTATCTCTGAATCAAGAACAGAACATTCAAAACAACTTCAAAGCTGATGTGAAGTAATGAAGTACCTATTCATATTTATTTCAAATTGGAGGTGGGATAATTGCAGGATATAAATGCTGCATACAAATAATTGCTGCAGCAAAATTAAGACATACAGGGTTTCTATATGGGTAATTATGGCAGAAGTAACAAATTTGAAAAAAAAGTTTAAATATTTTGGGAGCTGTATGTGTATATATGCATTATATACATACATAAACACATACATCATACTTTCAATTCTATGAAAAATTGAAATTGAGCTATATGTCACAAAATCTAAAATAGCAAGAAACAACCCTATGGTACAAATAATTTTTCCCAATCTCATGACTGTCACTTTTAGTCAGAAATATCAAACCTCAGTATGAGTCTCAATAAAGGCTGTCACTTGGGAAAGATTTAGAGTGTTTATAACTAATAGTACAACCACAGCTTTATTACTTACCAGTACCGTACTATGAATTCTCCTATTGGGTAATCTCCTTCACATATCCCTCTCTATGGAATGAGTTGTGATCACCACCTTGACGACTCAGATCTGTTGAAATTTCAAATGTCATGGATGTGAGCCCATGTGGTGTGTTAGCTGTCTTCTAATTTCATGTTAGTAGATAGTGTTAGAAAGTCCCTAAAGCAAGCAAACTAACACAAACACAGCATGCTGAGGAAATCTGAGTTTGCGGATTTATGGAGGAGATAACAATAGTAGAATTCAAGTTACTGATACGCAGTCTTTCTGCTGATCACGGTTATTTGCCAGGCTGTCACTCTGGGACTATCTCCCCAATAAGAAGGAAAAGGGAAGAGTGCAACAAGTGTAAAAAAAAAAATCCAGTTAGTTTTGGATATAAATAAATGTTCCAGATCAACTTCATATATTATGATGGCCTCATTAAATATCAGTTACATCATAATCACTAAGTATTTTTTATCTATGTAATCACAAACCAAATTATTTTTCTCTCAAGTAATGACTGAAATAGTTTTCAATCTCTTGAAACATTCAAATGTCCAATTTCTAATTCTGGGGAAAATGTCGAAATCAGTACACTGAAGAACTTTTGCATCTAAAGGAGCTCTTAGCATTTTGTTTGTATGAAACAGCTGAGCAATTCCCAATTTCAAAATATTTCATACTTTTTTCTTTTAAAGTTATATAAACTATTAGCTCCTTAAATAAATTCAGATTATGTCTATCATTTTCTTTCTGCCTAATACATTTGAAAATGTTATTATAATTTATAATTATAATTACAATTTATATTATATTATATTATATTATGAAATTATAATTTCATGTACAGGTGTTCTTACAATGTTCTATGTAGAATAGGCATCCAGTCTTCGTGAAAAATCACAGACTACAGATTACAAATAGTATAAAATGGTGCAAGTAAACTGCTATCCAGTACAAGATACTTTGATGCCGAAAGGTTTACACAGGTTGCCAGCTGCCTACTGGCCCAACTAAGATGCTGGTGCTGATTTGTAAACCTCTCAAAAACTCATGGTTTGGTTGCTGAGAAATCACCTCTCTTTTTCTAAATCTGTCCAATGACTTAGATCTGTAGAAAAGACCATTTTGAAGATGCCCTCTGTTACCAAAACCTGTGTGGTACATGGGAGAAGAGTCCTTTTATATAACTGCCAGGTTATGAAATGCTCTTCCTAGAGAGGTCCAACTCCTTCCCTCTCTTCCAATATTTAGAAAAGTCATAAAAAATAGAACTTATCATGATGGTTTTTCATCATTAGCTGATGCTGATTTTGTTGTTTTTAATTTTGTATTTTTGTTCCAAATCACCTTTAAAAGTTTATTCAAGTACAAAGCAGAATTTAAAATTAGTCAATCAGTCAACCTTTCTCAGAATTTAATAAAAGGAAATGTGACAAGGAATCACTTTGGACAATTTAGTTGCTGTACTGGAGTGGTGTGCAAACCATTATTGATAAGGTAGCCTTCAGTTTAATTTTTGTGGGCTGTGACAATTTCCAAGATTGCATCACAAAAATATTTTAGGTAAGATACTAGTGGTTAACAGCTGCATTTTTGCTGCTTTTTCCTGAAAGAAATCAAAATCCTGAAATAGTGTCTGCATACTACCCAGATTGCTTTTTTGTATGTATTTGAGGTACATGTACGATGGGTGTTTAGTTTTTAAAAATTATGAGCTGTATGCTTATTTTGCCAGAAGAGATCAGTGTGTTTAAACATGTGTTTGGGACATCATCAGTTTGCCTTTAGAATATGCAACTCCAATTTAATTATAGCTTGTTTGTTCAAATTTGGTAATTATCATTTATTATATAAACAGCATTTTGTACCTATATTTTTTCTATAACAAACAAGTACAAACCAAGTTTAAGCAATACTTATCAGGAATCAGTATAATGTAGTGACGAAGGATGGGCAAAAAATATGGGAAGTCCACTCTCAGTCACAGAAACTCAATGATTCATTCTCAGTCTAACCATTCTAACCTTCCATGACAACAGGAGTGTTGTCATGAAGAGCAAGGAGAAACTCTACTTAAGAGATATACATTTTAAACACACACACACACACACACGTTTGTCACCTGTGTCTGTGTTATCTCTATCTCAAACTGAACTGCAAAGAGTTCTAGTATTCTGTATTTTTTTCTGGAAATCCATTCATACTCCCGCACCATTTGAGGGAGTTCATCCCAAAGTGCATAGCTAAATGTCTACAGAGATTCTCAGTCATCCAGGTCATGGTTATCCCAAAGGTGCAGAAAACATCCTGCAGAAAACACAGCTCCACAACACAGTCCTTTCAGCAGTTCCAAAAAGGCTCCACACACATTTTCATTACTCAGATGACCCTCAGGACACAAACAAACCTCCAAGTAGACTCAACAACTCTCTAAAAGAATGCAAATGACCAGCTGTCTATAAGGAATATAAATCTTTCCATTCCCCACCATCTAGTCAGAGCTTAAGAAGCTTCACTTGATATACCCACACTGTAACATTTATAAATAGAAGAAAACGGACATTGACATCCCCTAAACTCCACTGAAAATATTACCTAGCCTGATAATGAAACGTTCGGAAACCAACCCACAACCTCAGACAGCAAACCTTCACCCTCATGCTACATCAAAGCTACAGATATTCGTCACTACTGCAAATTTAAATCTATTCTAATGTCCCATGTGCTGGCATTTTTTAAAATGAAGCATGGATGCGATCATGTGATAAAAGCGATAGAGAAAGTTATGATTGGATTCAGAATTAAATGAGATTATATGATTTTACAAATCTACTATGACAACAAAATCCAAAGCTAATGATGATAACTTTAAATCTTAAATAATTTATGCTCAACTAATGTAAAAAAAAATACTAACAAGAAATAATTAAGATTAGCAAAATTAAGATTTTTGAGTTGTTGTTATGTTGGCATTTATTACGCCTCAATCACAAAACATCCGTTTTCCAGAAAGCAAGCTAAAAACAAGATAGATGGTACTATCATCTGAACTCTGTTTGCAGAATCTGCAGGGTTCTGCTCCACCAGGATGTTTCAAAATACATAGTATTTCACATATTTCTTCAGAATGTCTATAACAGATATGCAAAATAATATATACACATATTAATTTAACCATGAATCTTACAAGCTAATACAGAATAAAATATGCTAACAGAGCTGCCTCATATAATACAGGGTCCACAATGCCAAATACCTGAAATTCTGGTTGAGAGACAATTCTGATTTACTCTGAAAAGCAGTCTAGCCTTCATATTTTTCAATACTTAAGCTACATCAATTAAAATTCATTGATGAGACATATTACAGACTATTTAGGATGCAGAATCTGTTTGAGAAATCCAACAATAAAGTTTTGCTTCTCTTGTTAAGTATTAATTAAATCTTCAGATAAGATATATGGCACAGAATCAGTGTGAAAGGAATTAGTTATATGAATATAGTACTATGTATAGTAATAATACTACTGTGTTTCCCTGAAAATAAGACCCTGCCTTATATTTTTTTGAACCCTGAAATAAGTGCTTGCCTTATTGCCATCCTCTCAAAAGCCCGATTGGACTTATTATCAGGGGATGTCTTATTTGGGGAGGAAACAGGGTACTACTAGTAGTAGTACCATGTTTCCCCGAAAATAAGACCTCCCCAGATAATAAGCCCAATCAGGCTTTTGAGCACATGGGCTAAAATATCCCCCAAAATAACCCCCCCGAAAATAAGCCCCCCCCCCGAAAATATTTAAACGCATGCACACCTGGTCCCTGCCATTTCCTCTGGTTAGGGTTAGGGAGACGGAGCTGGAAATCAGGTAAGACAGCAAGAAGAGCCCCATCTTACTCCACATGCCCCAAAATAATAAGACCTCCCCAAAAATAAGGCCAAGTGCTTATTTCGGTGTTCAAAAATATAAGACAGGGTCTTACTTTCGGGGAAACACGGTGGTAGTAGTACTAACATGATGCTTTTATAAAAATATGGGATAAGGTTTTGGCTGCTTAAAACTCCACCTCTTCATTCTTTTGATTTAATTTATTTTGGTGCCAAATCAGTAGGAATTAA